AAAAAAAGAATTGGGTAAAGTGAACAGCTGAGTAAAGATTAAAGGTGAGCTGTGAGGTGTTGTTACCTCAGTGGGTGCTCTGCAGAACAGTATGTCTGCGAGCTACTTGAACTCTTTACATCTTAACAAAAGGATGAAACTTTGTTTATTTTTTTTTAAAGGTGAGTTTATTTCTTGTATGCAGGTTATCCGGTTGGAAAACGTTGCCAGATCTGAGCTGCCAGACTCAAGTATGTTTTCAAAAACAAATGGCTGTCGAACATGACATGTTTTAAAGATTCTGCTCCCTTTCTCCCAAGTATTTCAAGAATGAATATCCCTCCCTGGGTTCAACCGCATAGGAACCAGAGAGCCCTGAAACATGGCAAGGCTTCAACTTCCCATCCCCTTTCCTGCTAAGCTGCTGACCTGCTGACACTCATCCATGCCACATGACCTTCTAGGTGAGTTTGAGAAAAACTCTTTATTCCTACTGATGTTAACTTTTCCCTCAGTGCAGTTGACCCCATCTCACTTTTGCAGAATATTGTTCCTACAGTCACCTCTTTCTGAAGATTTTCTTCCTTTCTACCAGAGATTTCTCCCAAATTGTGCTTCCTTTGTCCCCATCCCACTCCTCACTGCTCTCCAACTATGTCTTCTCACTGGTGAGCACAACAGCATAACCTCATGCCAGTTCATCTTCCATCTCTCCTTCACCTACGTTGCCTGCCCCTGACATGACTCTCCCAAGGTTCCTTTTGCCAATAGGCACTTATTTCTGGTGTCTTCACACTGACAAACTGGAGCTCCTCAGACATTTCCATTTGCCTAGATGCTGGGGCCAAATACCTGCATTTCACTTCCCCTGCTCCAATCTGTGTGCAATGCCTGTCATGTCTAGCTTCCCTGGTAGTCTGCCTGGTTTCATGGTGAACCACAGTCTGTCAATGCTCACCTGTACTACCCTAGAGATTTCTTTTTTTTAGATGGAGTTTCGCTCTTGTTACCCAGGCTGGAGTGCAATGGTGCAATCTCGGCTCACCGCCACCTCCGCCTCCTGGGTTCAAGCAATTCTCCTGCCTCAGCCTCCCCGGTAGCTGGGACTACAGGCATGTGCCACCATGCCCAGCTAATTTTTGTATTTTTAGTAGAGACGGGGTTTCACCATGTTGACCAGGATGGTCTCCATCTCTTGACCTCGTGATCCACTCACCTTGGCCTCCCAAAGTGCTGGGATTATAGGCATGGGCCACCGCGCCCAGCCGAGGTTTCTTAACTCTCTTCTCTGCCTCCACTCTGCCTCTCAAAGATCTACCACGAGTTTCCCATCAAACTGGAGCAAAACCTTAACTTCTTCCTATGGCCTGCAAGCCAAAAGGCCCTGTGAGCTATGGCACTGCCCATGGGGCCTCCTCTCTGCTGTTTCCCTCATTCTTCACTCTGACCATGCTGGTCACCTTGCTGTTTATTCCTCAAACACACATGAAACATGTTTCTGCCTGTCTTGGCAGTCATCCTGCTTCCTGTAATGTCAGCACACTTTCCCATCATTCCTTTAGTTGGGTCTGTTCAAATGTCAGCTCTCTAGAGAGGCTCTTCTTACCATTCTACCTCAAATAGCCCCCAATCACTCTGTGTCCCTTTATCCTGCTTTCTCTTTCTGCTGTTTCATACTACCTAAAAAAATACTTAAGTTCAATCCACCTAGAACACAAGCTCATAAAAACACAAGAACTGTGTTCCACCTGTCCTCTCCTCTACCCCAGCACTTAGAAGAGCAGCACAGAGTCAGCATCCAGTAAGTGTTCACAAATTAAGTCACTGCTTAGCAGCATTCGGCACTGTGACCACAGCCTCTCCTATCTTGAACTCTTTCTCCTTTTATTATCCTCTTCTGCTTTTCCTCCTCCCACTCTAGTAGCCATTCTTCTGGGGGCTTGTTCCTTAAATGATAACAGTCCTTACTGACCTATTTTCTGTCCACTTTATCTGTTTTTGAGGCAGAGTCTCACTCTGTTGCCCAGGCTGGAGTACAGTGGCATAAATTTGGGTCACTGCAGCCTCCACCTCCTGGGCTCAAGTGATTTTCCTGCCTCACCTGAGGCCACAGGCATGTGCTACCATGTCCAGCTAATTTCTTGATTTTTTTTTTTTTGGTAGAAATAGGTCTCAGTTTACTGCCTAGTCTGGCCTTGAACTCACATAGTCAAGCAATTCTTTCAAGTTGGCCTCCCAAAATGCTGGGATTACAGGCATGAGATACTGTACCTGGCCTTATTTTTTCTTTTTTTTTTTAAATACAGGGTCTCATCCTCTGGCCAAGGCTGGACTTAAACTGCTGGGCTAAAGTAATTCCACCACCTCAGCCTCCCGAATAGCTAGGACTAAAGTCATGAAACCACCAGGCCTGGCTTGTCCAATTTCATTCTGCACACTTTCTTGGTATTTAAATAGCCACTGTTGCTCTTCATTCTGTAGTTCTACATCAGATTCATGCCCTAGTCCTGTATATCCAAATGATGACTAGACTCTTCCACTCTGCTCTCTCAAAGGCATATTGAGCTTAGCCCATGTAAAAAACTCTCCCTTTTACAATCCAGCTTTCCTTCCTACGTCATCTATCTCTCTGTATCTGGAAGGACCACTCCTGCTTCCCTCCAGCACATGCCAAGAGTTCCAAATGATTTGCAGCTCCTCTAGAAGGTCTGTATTTGGTCCAGTGACCATTGAGGGCTTTGATTCAAGTGTACAGCAGGAGCCTTCTCCCCTAGACTCTAACTAGATTCTAAAGAAGTGCTGATCTAAGTATTTTTTTCTTCCTAGCCATGAAGTTGACGTTACTCTATAGGTTTGCTGTGGGGAGGAATAAGACTAATTTTAACAATTTGAACAGAATTTATTATTTAAAATAATAGTTTCATCAGAAAAATTCTGTAGGGTTGATGTAAATGTAACGACACAGCTATGACTTGGTAGACCAACTAGCAAAGCCTGTGTCCAAGTACTACTGGAACCACATTCCTGGGCAACATCATGAGCAGGCACAGGTGATCAGCAGGGGTGGATTAACACTCATCATCCAAGGAACAATGAATTTAGGGCAGCAGCTCGCAATTACAACCTGCATCAGAATTGCCTGGGGAAATAGCCTGGGACTCAGCTTCGACCTATACTGGCATCTATTCCTGCCCTTCAACTGGGTGGTTTTGTTACTACTCCCCATTCCAAGTCCTCCACATGCCCTGGATGTGTGTGCACTGTGTGTGCATGTGTGCACTGAAGTGTGGGGGGAGAAATCAGAAATTCCTCTTACTGTTTTTAATAGCAATTGTTCTGCGATTAGAAAAGCAATTGAGACATTTTAAGCCAAAATGATGATTCAACTCAATGTGTATATTTGCATTCATAAGTTTCTCTTAACATTCTGAGATAATGTCAGAAACTTACTGTTATTTAAAAACATGACCATACCACCCTGTTTACAAGATCAGTTGCTAAGGATGCTTTATAAATAGAAAATATCTTACCAGACTCACGATTGCAAATTCAGCCGTTAGCCTTGCAGCTTTAAACAGAGTGTTAACAAATCTGAAAATCACTTTGTGTTCAGGATCATACAGCAAGTATTCCTGTGGAATCTGTTCTTGCTGAAAGAAGAAAGGATGCAACGTAAGTATTCATTGAAGAAAAAACATGAAGTCTTCATAAGACAGTAGTGTTTACATTTGTGCCTGTGTACCACTCACAATAATTTCGATTGGTGAGATGTCTTTTAGTTTTTATAATATGAGCAGTAGGATCTTAAAATACCATAATGATTTAATACTCATCAACATTCACTTAAAAATAATATGAGCTTAAGCTCAGAAAATGTATGTTCTTTTTTGCTGTTTCCCCACATAATTCTATCCAATTGTAAGCTACTCTTAGGCTTTAATATCTTACTGACCATCTGCCATTCTTCTCTGCAATAAACTTTGAGAAAATAGTTTCCTGTAACCAGGAGGCTCTAAGCCTATGCTGCTAAATACAATAATCACTAGCCACATGTGGCTATTATGTAACCTGAGGAAGTGCATTTTAAAATTTTTACACCATGTAAAATTTATTAAAACTTAAGTTTTTTAACTCTCTTCATAAAAATGCTTCTGTGTTAAAAGTATTTACATATTCTTATATTGCTTGGTGCTATTGACAATTACATTTTTAAAAGATAGATTTTGTGTTACTTGGATAGTATATTTATTCACACTAACTCACTAATTAAACAGAGCTGCAGATCAGATCTTATTCCAGCATGTTCTTTTTATAACACTTTTGAAATAAGATGACTAGATGTAACATGAAATGGGGATTGAGAAAGAAAGATGCCTTTGACTTTGGCATGAAACAGATAAAAGTCTCTGATGAAAATACAACTTCAACAAAGTGACACTTGCTGGGCCAGGCACAGTGGCTCATGCCTGTAATCCTAGCGCTTTGTGAGGCCGAGGTCCGGAATTTGAAACCAGCCTGTCCAACATGGTGAAACCCCATCTCTACCCAAAATACAAAATTAGCCAGGCATGGTGGCTGGCACCTGTAATCCCAGCTACTTGGGAGTCTGATGCAGGAGAATTGCTTGAACCTGGGAGGCAGAGGCTGCAGTAAGCCAAGATGTCACCATCACACTCCAGCCTAGACAAGAGCAAAACTCCATCTCAAAAAAAAAAAAAAAAAAAAAAAAAAAAAAAGTGACACTTACTGTAAATGGATGTAACTCTTCATCAAATATGCCCAAAGATCTATCTGCATCTCTATAAAATAAGAATGTGCATTACTTCAAAAATTGTTAGTATCTTAGTATAATACCTGTTTTGTAAAATAATGCCTCCTATGTGCTTTGGTGTTTACTTCACCAAAGCAAACAGTTTTTACAAATTATTCTCCTGGATCCTGACCTGCAGAGTTTTTTCTGACCTCTTTTTACTCACCACATCATGTCCTGTACTGGAAAGTCTTTTATATGATAACCAGTCAGAACTGCCTATAAGAACTGACCCTCCTTAACAGGCAATGGCAATAAACCAAACATATTTTCACTCTTCTAACCACACACGGAAACACAAGAACATTTTACAAAGCAGTGGTGGTGGCAATAAACTCCTTAGAACTTTAATAAATGTAAATGTGATTCAGATTGCTAGCTTTCTTTCTCTTTAGTTCTCTTTAGTATACTCTCATGATGAATTTATTTATTTTCAGTAGTTTGAATTAAAAACTCATCTGCCATTTTATTTTAAAAGAAGCCAGTCTTTGATGACTTTAAACTTCGTAAAACTAATACATTGTGCCTGTGTGATAAACCAGTGGTTCACCAAATGTGCTCCATGGACCTCTGGGGATCCCCAAGAACCCTCTTCCAGAAGGCCTAAGAGGTCAACACTGTTCTGATAGCCATACTAATTCAACCTGAGAAAGCTGATTAAAAAAATGAAAACATTTTTAAAAATTGTAAAGATATTGCCTGCTTTTTCATAGACACTTGCCATAATTGTATAAAAGCAAAATTGGATAAAACTGCTGGTTTCTCAGCATAAATCAAAGAAGTGGTACAAAATTACACCAGTAGGCATTCTATTCTTTACTGTTCCTTACATTTAAAAAAGGCTGAATTACTTAAGAATGTCTTTAATGAAGCAGTAAAAATGGTGTTATTAAATCTTGACATTTCTCTTTAGTATTCTGAATAAGTGGAAAGTTAACAATAAGCACTTCTGTTGACTGCAGTATGGTTGTGTTAAAAAAAAAAAAAGATTCATGATTTAATTGTGAACTGAACAATCACTTTTTTCATAGAACGTCAGTTTTATTTAAAAGTACAACTGGACCAGTGCAGTGGTTCATGCCTGTAAAATCCCAGCACTTTGGGAGTTTAGCACTGCAGCTAAACTCCTTCAGAAGTTCAAGGCCAGCCTGGGTAACATGGCAAAATCCTGTCTCTACCAAAGTCACACAAAAAAAAGCCAGGTGTGGTGCCACACACTTGTGGTCCCAGCTACTCAGGAGCCTGAGGTGAGAGGACTCCTTGAGCTGAGATCATGCCAATCCATTCCAGCCAAGTGACAGAGTGACACTAGGTCTAAAAAAAAGTACAACTATCATTCTCAAAAATAAATGAAGTGAGGGTGCTCTCATTCACAAGGAAATGTGTCACTCATGTCACAAAGTATTTGTTCCCAGTGATAAAATTTAAGCTTTCCTGAGGACTTTGAAAAACTTGTTCCTTCTACTATAATATAAAATATTGACACCCTCTCAATATTTTAAAATGTTTTAAAATAAGATTGGTGGTTAAACTAAAAAAGTGATTTTTGATATAATGAAACATAAACCAACATTTTCCAAATAATTAATGCATAATATTATAAATGCAAATATGGGTGGAAAGATCCATTTACTGTTTAAGAAAGATCCATGAGTGCTGATGGAATAAATTAATATGTAAAATGTCACCGTAATTTAAGAAACTAGCACTTGTGAAGTTTTGATTTTGTATTAAAGAATACCCACAGCTGTCTGAAAGCTTTAAAAATACACCTTTTACCAACTACATATTTTCATAAGACTAAATTACCTTATTGCTTTTTTAAAGCAATTTGCAACAAAATGAGCTAGAGAATCCAGCTATCTTTTATTAAGCCCAACATTAGAGATTTTCACTAATATAAATACATGACACATATTTACTGAAGATTTTATTGTAAAAAAGTAATTTTTTCATTAAAAAATTTATGTTAACAATATTGTTCTCAGGAATATTTTGTGCTGTCACAACCTGGGTCATGGATTACTACTGGTAGAGGTCATCAATGCTGCAAAACTTTCTGCAATGCACAGGATGCTCCTCAGGACAAAGCATTATCTAGCTCATGATATCAACAGTGTTAAAGCTGTGAAATCTAAACTAAAAATAGATTTTGAAAAAAAAATCTCAATTTTATGTTTCTATCACATTAAATACCAGTATAATCAATATAAAAACATACTCAGGATTCTCAGTCATTTAAGAATCAAAAGAGGCTTAAAGATCAAAGAAAACACAAATAATTTGCTTCAATATTTTAGTAGGCACAATATAGCTTATGATGTCTAGAGTTGTGACCTAACGCTGAGCTTGATAGCTTGCAAAGTAATTAGCCAGAATAACAAGACAGGATTTTAAAAACTCACCTTTGCTTGATATGATAATATATCGCTAAGGTCACACTGTGGAAGAAAAAAAATTAATAACAATAGATGTTATCATTTGTTAGGCCTGAAGACATTTTTTAAAAAGAGTGCAGAGGAAACTCTCCTAGTGGCCCTGAAATTAAAATCTTCTAGTTCATAGCAGTACCATGAGGGCACTTTCTGGTTTTCGTTTCTTGGCTTTTAGCAAAATGCAAGGCAGTATGCTCTTAGAAGACATGTTTCTGTTGATGATTATAATATATAAATAATAACATATTTCCCTGTTATATGCCCTTCTACCTACAAAACCTTTTGTCCCATGCACTTTATTTTATGTATTTATTTTTTCACCCAGAGTCTTTCTCTGTTGCCCAGACTGGAGTGCAATGACTCAATCTTGGCTCACCACAACATCCGCCTCCTGGGTACAGGCAATTCTCACGCCTCGGCCTCCCAAGTAGTTGGAACTACAGGTTTCACCGCTACGCCCAGCTAATTTTTAGTAGGGATGGGATTTTGCCATGGTGGTCAGGTTGGTCTCAAACTACTGGCCTCAAGTGATCCACCTGCCTCAGCCTCCCAAAGTGCTGGGATTACAGGCATGAGCCACCGCATTCAGCATCATGCAATTTATGTCTATATGCCCGTATGTTTAAATTTAACCCATACAGTAGTGGTTTCTTTTTTTAAGATGTTAGGCCCAGGATGGGTGAGGTGGCCCATGCCTGTAATCCTAGCACTTTGCGAGGCCAAGGTGGGCAGGTCATGAGGTCACGAGTTCGAGACCAGCCTGGCCAACATAGTGAAACTGTCTCTACTAAAAATACAAAAAATTAGCCAGGCATGGTGGTGGGTGGCTGTAATCCCAGCTACTCAGGAGGCTGAGGCAGGAGAATTGCTTGAACCCAGGAGGTGGAGGTTGCAGTGAGCTGAGATCATACCATTGCACTCCAGCCTGGGTGAGACTCTGTTTCAAAAAAAAGATGTTAGGCCCTGCATTTTAGTTTAGTTTACTATCTCCTACCCACCCAATTTGTATTATTTCCCTAAAAATACATAATGAAAGTGCTTTACAACAAATAAAATTATTTGAAATCACTTTTGCATAATTATTAAAAGATATATTAGTAAACATAAGCACACAGGAAATCAATGATAAGTACAGTGATCCTGAAATAAGCAGTGCTAACAGGGCGGTGTAACATGACACAGTGTAATATGAATGGCAGGTACCTTCAATTAGTTTAACTGAAATATTTATGAACAGATACACCTCCTCAGACATATGTAACTGTATTCCTAAGTTACCCACTGATGCTGTGTATCAGAAAGCAAGAGGTTCTACAGAAAGCAAGAGGTTCTCTTATGTAAGTTATGTGCTTTCATTTACCCTTTGCATCTAGAATGATGCTCAAAATAACTGAGGGAAGGCAAATCTCAATTTTAGTAATAGGTCTATACAATATTAGCACTTTTTAAAAAGCCAGTAACATTAGCACTTAAGATGGATATGTCTATAGTCCTTCAAGTAGTTTTCATCTCTGAAACAATTTTAAAATCACAGAATTTGAAGTTATATGCTGGAAAGGACCAATGACCTTACATCACATTTAATCCAATACTTATTTTACAGATCAGGAAAACAAACCTTAAAACTGACTTGCCCAAGGTCCTACCAAATAGGAGCAGTTTCTTGTCCTAAACTCAAATTAAGCAGTGGCTCTCAAATTTTGCTACACATTAAAATCATCTGAGGAGCTTTAATAACTGCTTCATTTTCAACATAAAACATTTTAATTTAAATCTGCATTGGGGATGACCTTGGGCATCAAAGTTGTTGTTAAGTTTCCCAGGTGATTTCAATGTGCAGCAAAGTTTGGAATAATTGAGTTGGGGTGAAAATCAGAATCTTCTGGGATGCTTTTCTTCACATAAAGAAGCCTCACAGCCATCCCTATTTTTCAGCTGTGAATCCATCTGTTCCTGGGCTTTATTTGGTTGGTGGCTATTAATTACTGCCTCAATGTTAGAACTTTTTACTCGTCTATTCAGGGATTCGACTTTTTCCTAGTTTATTTTTAGGAGAATGTATGTGTCTAAAAATTTATCAATTTCTTCTAGATTTTCAAGTTTATTTGCATAGAGGTGTTTACAGTATTTTCTGATCATAGTTTGCATTTCTGTGGGATCAGTGGTGATATCCCCTTTAGCATTTTTTAGTGTGTCTATTTGATTTTTCTCTCTGTTCTCCTTTATCAGTCTGGCTGGTGGTCTATTTTGTTATTTTTTTCCAAAAGCTAATTCCTGGATTCACTGATTTTTTGAAGGTTTTTTGTGTCTCTGTCTCCTTCAGTTCTACTCTGATCTTAGTTGTTTCTTGCCTTCTGCTAGCTTTTGAATTTGTTTGCTCTTGCATCTCTAGTTGTTTTAATGGTAATCTTAGGGTGTCGATTTTAGATCTTTTCCACTTTCTGATCTGGGCATTTAGTGCTACAAATTTCCCTCTAAACACAGCTTTAGCTGTGTCCCAGAGATTCGGGTGCATTGTGTCTTTGTTTCCATTGGTTTCTAAGAACTTAATTATTTCTGCCTTAATTTTGTTATTTACCAAGCAGTCATTCAGGAACCAGGTAATTCAGTTTCTGTGTAGTTGTATGGTTTTGAGTTTCTTTTTTTGTTTTCTCTTTTTTCACATAGCACTTATTCTAAAATGGACCACATAATTGGAAGTAAAACACTCCTCATCAAATGCAAAAGAACAGACTGAGAGACTGTTATCATTTCCATTCTTTTGCATTTGCTGAGGAGTGTTTTACTTCCAATTATGTGGTGCTGAAAAGAATGTATGTTCTGTTGACTTGGGGTGGAGAATTCTGTAGATGTCTATTAGGTCTGCTTAGTTCAGAGCTAGTTCAAGTCATGAATATCCTTGTTAATTTTCTGTCTCGTTGATCTAATATTGACAGTGGGGTGTTAATGTCTCCCACTATTATTGTGTGGGAGTCTAAGTCTCTTTGTAGGTCTCTAAGAACTTGCTTTATGAATCTGGTTGCTCCAGTATTAGGTGCATGTATATTTAGGATAGTTAGCTCTTCTTGTTGCACTGATCCCTTTGCCATTATGTAATGCCCTTATCTTTTTTTATCTCTGTTGGCTTAAAGTCTTGTTTTATCAGCGAGAATTACAAATCCTGCTTTTTTTGCTTTCCATTTGCTAGGTAAATATTACTTCATTCCTTTATTTTGAGCCTATATGTGTCTTTGCACATGAGATGGGTCTCCTAAATACAGCACACCAATGGGTCTTGACTCTTTATCCAGTTTGTCAGTCTGTGTCTTTTAACTGGGGCATTTAGCCCATTTAAATTTAAGGTTAATGTTGTTATGTGTGAATATGATCCTTTCATTAAGATGCTAGCTGGTTATTTAGCAAATTAGTTGATGTAGCTTCTTCATAGTGTCATTTGTCTTTGCATTTTGCTGTTTTTGCAGTAGCTGGTAACAATTTTTTCTTTCAATATTTAGTGCTTCCTTCAGTAACTCTTGTAAGGCAGGCCTAGTCATGATAAAATCTCTCAGCATTTGTTTGTCTGTAAAGGATTTTATTTCTCCTTCACTTATGAAGCTAAGTTTGGCTGGAGATGAAATTCTGGGTTGAAAACTCTTTTCTTTAAGAATGTTGAGGCAGAGGCACCCATTCCATTCCCAGCTTGCTCCATAGCTGGTGATTGGAATATACTCTACAACAGTGTAAAAAAGAAAAAAGAAAAAAAAGAATGTTGAATATTTGACCCCACTCTCTTCTGGCTTGTAGAGTTTCTGCAGAGAAATCCACTATTAATCTGATGGACTACCCTTTGTAGGAAATCTGACCTTTGTCTCTGGCAGCCCTTAACATTTTTTCCTTGGTTTCAACCTTGGTGAATATGGCGATTATGTGTCTTGGGGTTGCTCTTCTCAAGGAGTATCTTAGTGGTGTTCTCTTTATTTCCTGAATTTGAATGTTGGCCTATCTTGCTAGGTTGGGGAAGTTCTCCTGGATATTATCCTGAAATGTGTTTTACAACTTGGCTCCATTCTCCCCATCATTCTCAGGTATACCAATCAAATATAGGTTTGGTCTTTTTACACAGTCCCATATTTCTTGGAAGCTTTGTTTGTTCCTTTTCATTCTTTTTCCCCTAATCTTGTCTTTACACTTTATTACATTAGGATGGTCTTCAATCTCTGATGTCATTTCTTCTGCTTGATTCAGTTATTGATGCTTCATGAAGTTCTCATGCTATGTTTTTCTGCTCCATCAGGTCATTTATATTCTTCTCTAAACTGGTTATTCTGGTCCAGTTCCTGTAACCTTTTACCAAGGTTCTTAGCTTCCTTGCATTGGGTTAAAACTTACTCCTTTAGCTCGGAGGGGTTCGTTATTATCCACCTTCTGAAGCCTACTTCTTTCATTCAACAAATTTATTCTCTCTCCATCCATTGGAGTCTCAAGAAGAGGCATTCTGGATTTTGGAATTTTCAGTATGTTTGCACTGGCTTTTTCTCATCTTTGTGGATTTAGCTACCTTCGATCTTTGATGCTGATGAACTTTGGATGGGCTTTTTGTATGTGTGTCCGTTTTGTTGACGTTGATGTTTTGTTTTGTGTTTGTTAGTTTTCCTTTTAACAGTCAGATGCCTTTTCTGCAGGTCTGCTGAAGTTTGCTGGAGGTCCATTCCAGACCCTGTTTGCCTGGGCATTACGGGCAGAGGCTGCAGAACAGCAAAGATTGCTGCCTGGTCTTTCCTCTTGAAGCTTCATCCCAGAGAAGCACCCACCAGATGCCAGCTCTCCTGTATGAGATACCTGTCAACCCCTGCTGGGAGGTGTCTCCTGGTCAGAAGCCGGCAACCATTTTAATTCAAGTAAAAGTTACTGACAATTGAATTAGCTAAAAAGACATTTGAAATAAAATTGTTTATAAGCTACTTATGTTTATTCAATGAAAAGTAAAATTAAAGATAAAAACATTAATATTCTAAATTAGCACTTTCCAAGCTGTGTTCTAAAAATCAGCACTCATGACCCAAGGAGATGACAATGATGAACACTGGACAGCCCCAATGGAGCTGGTGGTGGTGTTGGTTGTTGTTCCTTTTACAATAAACTTCATCTTAGGGTGCTCTCAAAGTGCATCTTTGTGGCCCATGAGGTGCTCATGCACAATGGGAGAAGTTCAAATGCAGATACACTGTGGTGCCAGAAGAGAAAAAGCTGCTCTGTCTTCCAAGACTAATGTTCAAAGTAGTACACATTGATTTAGGCCTGCAATGCACTGAAAAACTAATTTTTCACTCACAAAAAATCCAATAAAGGGTCCTTTTCATTTCAGTCAACATTGTCTTAAGTCATAAAGGCACCAAAAATATAGCTATACTTTTCTGGGATTGCTTATTTGCTAACTGATTTTTCCTTCTACCATGACATCTAAGATTTTTTAAAAGAGAAATTGATACTTAATATTTAGAATCTGCATATCAATATATAGTTGACTTCAATTTCTTAAAATGACTGCTGAAGAGGACAACCAAATGGTTGAAATAATTTTAGAATAGAGGAATCTGTCCCTTGGCACTATGGTTGTACTCACGACATTAGTGTCATTCTAAGATGAGGCTGACTGGCTGTGCTGTCATCAAGGAAAATGGCTGAACAGGAACTATATTGCCGAGTAGATACCTGAAGGGGATGGGAGGTATAAGTTAAACTTATCAAGGTGTATTTTTTTTATTGGTTTCTCTAGTCCTGTTTTCTTATGTGGAGGATAAAATTACTAACAATTTAATATTCTCTCACACCATGAAAACAGATGACAACTTAAAAAAATTAACTTTCACTTCATGTTTAAATAAGACGGCCATGACATGACTCAAATGAGACTCTCAGAGAATACTTGCCATTAATTTCAAAACTTAATTTCATTCTATAAACCATTTGAGCTGTACCCTAGGCATTTTCCTGCTATACCCCTGCTCTCTGCCTAGAATACTGCTGTTCTCTTTCCTTGTTTCAGCAAGTTTGACTCCATCTACCCTCTTGGATATGTTTGCCAGCAGCCACACAAAAACATGTTTTTTTTTTTTTTTTTTTTTTGGTACACTAATGAATCAGATTCACCACTGGTTACGGGAGACTAATTCTTGCAGAGTATTCTCCTCATGAGAAAGTATGCCTCTCCATAAAAGTAACAGCAGGCTCTAACTGTTCCTACATCCAGCTGCAGAGCATAGAATTTTGAATAAATCAAAAAGTTCAACAAGTGTTTGACAAATTAATTGAGTTTATCATTTGGATTATACATCTTACTACATTTAATTAAAGTAAAAAACACTATTAACAGTTCACTCTTTATAGGTATTGTTTAAGGTAGTCACAAAATAGAAACAAATCATCTAACTTCAGTCAGCATAAATCAGAGTATGAAATGCTATGTTCTTTAACAAGAAATGGAAGGGTTTACTTAGTGGTTTTAAGGTATAATAACAAAAACTAGAAAATAATCATACCTAGTAATTTAATAAGTCAAAACTAAAGCCTTACCATCAAAGGTCCAGTACCCCTTGGATGCCAGTGTCCACCCACTGACTTCTTCCATTGTACCTGCTGCCTCTCATTTTTAACCCATTAAAAACACTAAAGTTGTTTTCCTTGTAGTGATCTTTCACCTCCTTGGTTAGGTGTGCTTTTAAGTATTTTACTTTATTTTTCAGCTATTGTAAAAGAGGTTGCGGTTCTTATTTTGATTCTCAGCTTGGTAGCTATTGGAGTGTAACAGACCTACTGATTTGTGTACATTAATTTTGCATCTTGAAACTTTGCTGAATTCATTTATCAGCTCTAGGAGCTTTCTGGAGGAGTCTTTAGGGTTTTCTATGTATACGTTCATATTATCAACAAACAGTGACAGTCTGACCTCCTATTTACTGATCTGGATGCCCTTTATTTCTTTCTCTTGTGTGATTGCTCTGGCTAGGTCTTACAGTGCTATGTTGAGTAGAAGTGGTGAAAGTGAGCCTCCTTGTCTTGTTCCAGTTTTCGGGGGTAATGATTTCAACTTTTTGCCATTCAGTATTATGTTGGTTGTGGGTTTGTCATAAATGACTTTTATTACATTGAGGTATGCCTCTTGTATGCCGATTTTGCTGAGAGTTTTAATCATAAAAGGATGCTGTCAAATGCTTTTTAAACCTTTTAATCATAAAAGAATTTTGTCAAATGCTTTTTCTGCATCTATTGAGATGATCATGTGATTTTTGCTTTCAATTCTGTTTCTGTGATATATCACATTTATTGACTTGCATATGTTAAACCATCCCTGTATCCCTGGTATGAAACCTACTTAAACATGGTGGATTATCTTTTTGACATGCCAATGGGAGCTATAAAACATTGCTGAATGAAATCACATCAGCATAAACAAATAGAAAGACATCCTACACTCATGAATGGCTTAAGTAAATATTGTAAAAATGACCATACTGCCGAAAGCAATCTATAAATTCAATGCAATTCCTAACAAAATGCCATTATCATTTTTCACAGAACTAAAAAAAAAATCCTAACATTCATATGGAACAAAGCAAGACTCCACTTGGTCAAACAATACTAAGCAAAGCCAACAAATCTAGAGCCATCACTTTACCTGACTTCAAACTATACTATAAGGCCATAGTCACCAAAACAGCGTGGTACTGGTATAAAAATAGGCAAATACACCAATGGAACAACATAGAGGACCCAGAAATAAACCCAAATACCTACAGCCAACTGATCTTCAACAAAGCCAACTAAAACATAACATGAAGAAATTAAACTCTGTGTGGTTTAATGCCTGGAATAATTGGCAAGCTACGTGCAGGAAAATGAAACTGGATCCTCAACTCTCACCTTATACAAAGATCAACTCAAGATGGATCAAAGATATAAATCTACAACCAGAAACCATAAAAATTCTAGAAGATAACATTTGATAAACCCTTCTAGACACTGGCTTAGGCAGACTTCATAACCAAGAACCCAAAAGCAAATGCAACAAAAACAAATATTAAGCAGGTAAGACTTAACTAAAAAGCTTCTGTACAGAAAAAGGACAATCAGCAGAGTAAAAAGCCAACCACAGAATGGGAGAAAATCTTCACAATCTCTACATCTGAGGAAGAACTAATACACAGAATCTACAAGGGAATCAAACAAATTGACAAGAGAAAAAAACAACCCCATCAAAAGGTAGGCAAAAGATATAAATAGACAATTCTCAAAAGAAGATATACCAATGGCCAACCAACATGTGAAAACATGCTCAACAACATGAATAATCAGGAAAATGAAAATCAAAACCACAAGGCCATACTACCTTACTCCTGCAAGAATGGCCGTAACCAAAAAATATAAAAATAATAGATGTTGGTGTGGATGCAGTGAAAAGAAAACACTTCTCCACACTGCTGGTAACCATGAAAACTAGTACAACCACTATGGAAAGCAGTGTGGAGATTCCTTAAACAATTAAAAGTAGAACCACCATGCAATCCTGCAATCCTGCTGCTGGATATCAACCCAGAGGAAAAAAAGGCATTATACAAAAACAATACTTGCACATGTATGTTTGCAGCAATACAATTTGCAATTATAAAAATATGGAAGGAGCCCAAATGCCCATCAATCAATGAGTGGATAAAGAAACTGTGATATATGTATGTATGTGTGTGTGTGTGTGTGTGTGTGTGTGTGTGATGTGTTCTATATATATGATGTGTTCTATATATATGATAGAACACCACTCAGCCATAATAAGGAATAAATTAGTGGCATTCCCAGCAACCTGGATGGAATTGGAGACATCATTCTAAGTGAAGCAACTCAGGAATGGGAAACTAAACATCGTATGTTTTCATTCATACCTGGGAGCTAAGCTATGAAGATGCAAAGGCATAAGAATGATACAATGGACTTTGGGGACATGGCGGAAAGAATGGCAGTGGAATGAGGGATTAAAGGCTACAAATTGGGTTCAGTGGGTGCTGCTCAAGTGATGGGTACATCAAAATCTCACAAATCACCACTAAAGAATTTACTCATATAACCACCTGTTCCCCCCAAAACCTATAGAATGAAAATATATAAATAAATCAACTACAGCATTTTTGCCAGCAAACATAAAATAAAATGAAAACTAAAGTTTATGTTTTTCTCTCTCCTTTTTGGCATGACAAATTTTAGATATGTTTTTAAAGAATAATGTTTTTCCTTTTTCTGAGTCAGGGTCTCACTTTGTCGCCCAGGCTGGAGGGCAGTGGTGCAATGATAGTTAACTGCAGCCTCAAACTCCTGAGCTGAAGCAATCCTCTACCTTAGCCTCCTGAGTAGGTGAAACTAAAGGCATATGCCACCATGCCTGGCTAATTTGTTATTTCACCTTTTTGTAGAGATGAGGTCTTGCTATGTTGACCAGGCTACAAATAAATAAATCTTAATTAACTTAAATATTTCTAACACTTTGGGCATTCATGAAAAAACTCCACCTATAATAATAAGGTAAACTGAAAAATAAAAGGAGAAAATTAAAAACTAATGCAGGTATACTGGTCTAAGCAGCCTAGTGTATGAATAACAAGACTATCAGAAAAAAAGTAACAGAGAAAGTAAAACAAATTATCAAGCACAGATAGTCTGCAGACTTAGAAGCCTCAATAAAATGTAAAGAGTCCCACCAAGCTGTTATGAAATTTCAGAATCTCAGAAAGACAGAACCTCTTAAAATGTTTCTACACATATATAAAAGCCAGTTACAAATAATGTATCACACAATGGCAATAGATTTAAGAACAACATTGTAAAGAGTGCACAATTGTAGAATATCTTCAGAATCATAAAATTTAGATTCAACCTAGAGGTTTACTCTCTATCAAAAAGGAGGGATTTTAAGACTGGGCAGATCTCTAAACATCTCTGCCCAGGTTAACAGGACAGAAGAAAACGTAGAATCTAGGACACAGGTGATCCCACACAAGACGGCAGTTACGTGAGATCCCAAAAGACTTTAAGGAGACAGCCCAAAAAGAATCAGAAAAGCAAACATCGAGCATATCTAGAGAAAGTCACTCTATATTGAATTAGATTGCCAAAAGACCAAAGTAAGTTGTCACCCCACCCCCCCACAACAAAGAAAAATGGAGTAAATATGTTTTAGCAGATGGAAAATAGTTTGGAAAGGCATGTGATAGATACTACAACATTTGGGGGGAAAAACGGCTGTTAGAAAACAGGCAAATGAATAGTCAGAAAATTAGCTTCATGCTAAAAAATAATAGTTATGAAAGCAAACAGACCAGCCAGGGGCTACTTATTGAATTTGGCTGGGTAAAGTAACACAGGCTAGGAAAAAAGAGATGATCCAGAAGAAGTGCAGAAGTGCTCAGATTTCAGAACTGTTTCAGAGAGAATATGAAGGGATATGTAATGCAAAGGCACAATGAAAACACCATATGATTTAGCAGTGAATAATTTTGCATAGTCATAATCATGTAAATATTAGATTTAATAAAAAGGTGTGCTACAATTGGAAGAAAGAGAGGAAGAAACATAAGGTCTTGGTGTAGTGAGGAAGCTATGCTTGCACCTGCTATGCCAGAAAGTCAATAGACAGTGCTGACAATTAACTTAGCTAAATTAAAAATATGACTAAATATTTAAGGCAAATCTTTATACCACAATCTGACTATTGAAATTTAACTTAAATGTCAGACATTCTTAAAAGGTGGACACACTAAGTTGAAGACTTTTCTGAATACATTTGATACTTAGGAAAATGTAACAGATTTAGAAAATCCACAAAAAGAAGTTCATGCTATCAGCATGGGGTCCTCATTATAATTTAAAGTAATTAAGAGAGACATACTTTTATGTCAAACTATCAATTTTTTAACTTTTGACTGTTTACTTACATGGTTTGTATAGTTGCTTTTTCTTATTTCTTCTACAAGAAAGAAAATAGAACAAACAAACTGGTCACTTCTAATACAAATACCATAAAATAAAAGTAGTTGTTAACGTCTTACTGATTACTCCTAAGTAAAATGAGAACAAATTAAATTTTAAAAAATTATTTTCAACAATTTATATTTAAATTATCTGGCATGATAAATCTCATAAAGTAAAATCAAAAAACTTATTTTTTACTGTTTGGGCTAGTTTACTTTTGGTTTCTATTATATACAAATGAAAGAAGCCTTGTATACAAAAGGAAAGGGCAAAAAAATGAGGCCAGATGAAAAAATTAGCTAATAAAAAAGTTTAACTGTTATATACATGAGCCATGACCCATTAGCATTTTCTCATTCTGTATTTACACATAGCTTACTTTTTTTTTTTTTTTTTTTTTTTTTTTATAATTTAAGAGCTAACAGCTCTAAGAACTACTTCCTGGCCAGGCACCTATCTCTAGATGCACTAGAATCCCAGTAAGCATTTTGAACCACATTAGTGGTCACCTACTAATATGTCACTAAAAACAAAACAAAACAAAAAAAGAGTCTTTACACAACGGGAAAGTAACCTATCTTAAGTTTAAATTTTAAAATGAGCATATAAACCTTATTGAACATGGTGTCCACAACACAAAAAAATCATTATTTTTTCCTAAAAAAAGGCCAGAATAACAAAAGCTCCAAAAACGAACTAGGCCATACTTCGTTTTCTACACTGCCTCCACCTTTAATGCTGAAAGGGCCTTGTAGGCAAACATTGCTATCACTAAAGAGTGAGGACATGGAATAGCTTTTTTTTTTTTTTTCTTAACTTCTTCCATGCTCTCTATGTGTGAGAAGCCCATGGCTCTGGAAGGAACCGGGAAAACAATTCTGATATGGTTTGGATATTTCCCCCTCCAAATCTCATATTAAAACGTGATCCTGTATGTTGGAGACAAGGCCTAGTGGGAGGCATTTGGGTAATTGTGGGTTTCTTATGAATGGCTTGGTGCCATTCCCATGGTAATAAGCAAATTCTCATTCTGGTAGTTTAAAAGAGTGTGGCACCTTCCCCCTACCTCCCACCCCACCCTCTCACAGTGTGGAACCACCTGCTTCCCCTTTGCCTTCCATCATGATTGTAATCTTGTGGAGACCCTCACCAGAAGCAAATGCTGAAGCCATGCTTGTACAGCCTGAAGATCTATGAGCCAATTAAACCTCTTTTTGTTATAAAAGACCCAGCCTTAGGTATCTCTTTACAGTAGTGCATAAATGAACACAAATTCTAGCCAGAAATAACTGACTCAAGACAGGCAAAGTCTACTCAAACTATCAAAAACAAAGATTACAAACTCCCATATTTTACTGTGCTGCCTCACTTCACATATGATTATAGATCCTCACTTGTATTCTTGCTTCTGAAATCAACAGAAAAACCTGGCTGTGTATGGCTTTTTAGCAAACAAACAAGGATTTAACATAACACTGAGGAAAATAAGAGGAGTAGGGCATGTTTAAATTTGCATTACATCAAATTAAAAGTTTAATAAAAGTTTTGATTAGCATAAACTTGGATGTGATAAATGCATGTGGTCAGAGGACTGTGGAAGAGGAGGCCAAAATCACAGATTCAATCATTGTTGATGAACAACTATGTTGTTGTTGTTGTTGTTGTTGTTGTTGTTTTCATTTGTTTAAATGGAAACCAAGGTGAAGCCTAAGTTCTATAATTCAACTTTAAAATGTACTCTCTGGAGCAAGGGAATAGGGACAAAGAATTATAAATAAAGATAAATTTACAACTCCTCCATCACATGACAAATTGTTTTGATAAAAAGATGGTAAACTGTACAAATAAAAAGTTTACATGTTTTTACTAACACAATAACAATTAAAGGAAAGTATATCACATGTTAAAATAAGACAAATTAATATGTGAAAAATTTAAAAATTTAAAGCAATATGAGTTTTTCTAAATATTTCTATAATACATTTGATCAAACAAGAAGAGTTTTCATTCTTCTTCTTGGTGGAAAAAACAATGGTGTCTCACCATCCGTTTGAGATTTTGTCAGGAATATTGTGCTTGTCTCCAGATTGTGGGAAGGGTTGGACTCTGAAGCCATATCTATAGAGGGAGAAAAGAAAAAAGATGTGATCACTTTCAACAGTTTATCAACTCATTTCTTTGACCACTGTATTTAGGCCATTTCACTACCTCTACTTTTATTCTTATCCACTGAAATGAATGTGTAGACTTAAGATGGAGCCAGGCAAGGTGGCACATGTCTGTAGTGCCAGCTACTCAGAGGGCTGAGATGGGAAAATCCCTTAAGACTAGGTCAGGAATTTGAGACCAGCATGAGTAACGTAGTGAGACCCTCCTAAATAAATAAATAAAGAGGTAAATGTTGCCTTTGAGTTGTGCAAAATCAACTGCATAGAATAAAAGAAGATGGCAGTACATTTTAAAAGGCAGGTCTATTTTATAAGCAAAGCATATCATTTATTATAGAGCTCAAAAATTTTAAAAAAGTAAATTTAGCATATCTGTCACTTCCATGTCATTCTGAGGACATAGAACCTTAGTCCATTGAGTAGCTGTCTTCCACAGTCATGTAAGATCTGTAAGTCTTAATTTCTTCTTTAGCAATATATAGGGAGAACATACACAGACCTTTGGATTGGAAAGGGACAGATGAGACATACATAAACTGCGTTGTAATCCTAAAGAATGACAAAAAAGACATTTTTTTGGGCTCTCATCCAACACTAACAATCTATGAACTGGTGTGTAAAATCACTCACAGGCTTTCCTTACACCAGCAACCAGAGTATAAGTTTACCCAAGCACTTTCATGTTTTGTGTATAAAAATATAATCAACTCACATATTTGTTTATTCTAAATTATTAAACGTCTTGAAAAGTGAGTATAGTACTCCAAGTTACAAAGTCACACTCATCATGAGTCTTAGTTATTCTACCTCTGAAAAAAATGAAGAGCCCAACTAAAGGTTTTTTTTTTTTTTTAACTTTAAGTTCTGAGAAACATGTGCAGAACATGCAGTTTTGTTACATACCTATACATGTGCCATGATGGTTTGCTGTACCTATAAATGCATCATCGAGATTTTAAATCCCACATGCATTAGGTATTTGCCCTAATGCTCTCTGTCCCCTTACCCCTGCCCCCTGAAGGGACCCAGTGTGTGATGTTCCCCTTCCTGTGTTCATGTGATCTCATAGTTCAACTCCTACTTATGAGAGAGAACTTGCAGTGTTTGATTTTTGTTCCTGTGTTAGTTTGCTGAGGATGATGGCTTCCAGCTTCTTAAGCTTTAGTTTCTTATCTTTGAACAAGATGCTATTGTCAAGAGAGGGAAGGACAAAGGGGAAGCCATGGCAACAAACACTCTTACACAGGCAAGGTCTAGCATTTTAACCTTCAATCTTTATCTTATACATTAAAATCTACATTTACATTTCATGTCTTTTGAAAGTTTTGACCCCGAACAATTTCCTACCTCTCTTTTAGAACAAGAAGGTAAATAAAGTCTGTTAAGTCACCACAATAAATCTAGAGACACATTTTGTGTTAAAGTAAGAATTTTAAAGTAATCAGAGCTTCATGGGTGAAGTACTTTGGGGGGGGAATACCCATTTTTCTGCAGCCCTGGCCTTGACATTTCATACCTTTCACAATTATTTTAAGCACCTTCCATTTTCTTTCCTTTTGTGTTCAAATTATGGTTAGAAGAAACTAAGCACCTATTAAGGTGACTTGAAGCAACCCACTGAGAATACCCTATCATCTCTCCCATGGCAAGCTTCATTCTGATTTTAAATAAGAAATCCAGAGGAGGACCCAAATGGCTGACTAGGAACAGCTCAGGATTGCAGCTCCCAGTGAAAGCACAGAAGGTGAGTGGACACCGCATTTCCAGATGGTTTTTTATTGCCCACAGACCAGGAGATTCCTGGACGGAGGAGTCCCATGGGTCGCCAGCATGGCTGTTTTGGCCAGCATGGTTTTTTTGGCCAGTGTGGCTGCTTTGCCAGTGCCCTGGTGCGGCGGCTCTCTGTACAAAATACACTGGTCTGGGTGCCCTTTTAGTTGGGAATTGGAGACCCGGGAAGGCAGATCGCCTATTCATCTGATTTAAAAAGCAACTGAAACAGGGAGCCAGGTCAGGAGATTCCCAGGCAAAAAGCCACCATGAATCTCAGCGCCCTTGTTTCAGCCAGAACAGTGAGTCGCCACATGGAAAATCACACAGATCCTGGCGCCTTTTCAACAGTCAACTGGAACACCTGGGAGAGAGTTGACTGTTCAAATAAAAAAAAAAAAAAAAAGACTCTGACTCAGGGAGTCAGGTGATCAGGCTCAGCTGGACTCACCCCCACAAACAAACAAACAAACAAACAAAAAACAAAAAAACGCCCAGCAATTGAAAATGATCTGCATTGAGAGTTTCACAGCAAGCACAGCAGAACCCGGGATGGTCCAGCTCTGTGGGGGAGGGGCGTCCACCATTACCGAGACACTCCACCACTACAGAGGTAGTCCGCTATTGCTGAGGCAGCCCACAATTGCCGAGACAACCTGCCATTACAGAGAGAGTCCACCAATACAGAGGTGGGCTGCCATTGCCGAGGCAGTTCTAACTACAATCATATAAACAGGACTGCAGGGGAGATCACACGGCAGCTGGGCAGAGCCCACAGCAGCTCAGCAAAGTCACTGCAGGCAGACTCTGACTAGGCTGCCACCTTGCTAGGCAGGGTAGCCCTGGAAAAAAAAGGCGGCAGCACAATGGAAACTCATAAATATAGCCCTAACTCCCTGGGACAGAGCACATGGGGAAAAAAAAAGGGGTTTATGAGTTCTGCTGCATCAGACCTAAACGTACCTGTCCAGCAACTCTGAATGAAGAACAGAGCTCACAGCTCAGCACTTGAGCTCCAATAAAGGATAGACTGTCTCCTCAAGCAGCTCCCTGACCCCCGTATATCCAAAGAGTCAACTCATAAAGGAGAGAACAGACTGACATTTGTCGGTTATCCTTCTGGAACAAAGATAGCAAAAGTAGAAACTGGTAGCAACCCTTACTGTTCTGCAGCTGCAAGCAAGGCAAGCAAGGCCTGGAGTGGACCTCAGCAGTCCTACAGCAGACAGGCAAGGCTGTTAGAAGGAAAACTAAGAAACAGACATAACTTGATTATCCACAAACAGGAAGTTCACCCAGAGACCCAATCTGAAAGTCAGCAACTACAAAGATAACAGGTGGATAAATCCACAAAGATGGCAAGAAACCAACGCAAAAAGGATGAAAACACCTGAAAGCAGAACACCTCCCCTCCTACAAGGGATCACAACTCTTCACCAGCAAGGGAACAAGGCTGGTTGGAGAATGAGTGTGATGAAATGACAGAATCAGGCTTCAGAAGGTGGATAATAAGAAACTTCTGTGAGCTAAAAGAACATGTTCTAACCCAATGCAAAGAAACTAAGAACCTTGAAAAAAGATTTGAAAAAATGCTAGCGAGAACGGACAACATAGAGAGGAATATAAGTGAATTGATGGAGCTGAAAAACACAACACAAGAACTTCATGAAGCATGCACAAGTTTCAACAGTCGAATTGACCAAGCAGAAGAAAGGATATCGCAGGTCGAAGATCAACTCCATGAAATAAAACAAGAAGGCAAGAATAGAGAAAAAAGGGTAAAAAGGAATGAACAAAGTCTCCAAGAAATGTGGGACTATGTGAAAAGACCTAATCTATGTTTGATAGGTGTACCTGAATGTGACAAACAGAATGAATCCAAGCTGGAAAATACTCTTCAGGATATTGTCCAGGAAAACTTCCCCAACCTAGCAAGGCAGGCCAATATTCAAGTCCAGGAAATACAGAGAACACCACAAAGATATTCGTTAAGAAGAGCAACCCCAAGGCACATAATCGTCAGATTCACCAGGGTTGAAATGAAGGAGAAAATGCTAAGGGCAGCCAGAGAGAAAGGTCGGGTTACCCACAAAGGAAAGCCCATTAGAATCACAGCAGATCTCTCAGCAGAAACCCTACAAGCCAGAAGAGGGTGGGGGCCAATATTCAACATCCTTAAAGAAAAGAACTTGCAACACAGAATCTCATATCCAGCCAAACTAAGCTTCATAACTGAAGGAAAAATAAAATCCTTTGTGAACAAGCAAATACTCAGAGATTTCATCACCACCAGGCCAGCTCTACAAGAGCTCCTGAAAGAGGCTCTACACGTAGCAAGGAACAACGAGTGCCAGCCACTCAAAACCATACCAAATGGTAAAAAGCATCAACACAATGAGGAACCTGCATCAACTAATGGGCAAAACAGCCAGCTAGCATCAAAACGGCAGGATCAAATTCACACATAACAATATTAACCATAAATGTTAATAGGCTAAATGCCCCAATCAAAAGGCACAGACTGGCAAATTGGATAAAAAGCCAAAACCCATTGGTGTGCTGTATCCAGGAAACCCATCTCACATGCAAGGATACATAAAGGCTCAAAATAAAGGGATGGAGGAAGATTTACCAAGCAAATGGAGAGCAAAAAAAAAGCAGGAGTTGCAATCCTCATCTCTGATCAAATAGACTTTAAACCAACAAAGATCAAATGAGACAAAGAGGGACATTACATAATGGTAAAAGGATCAATGCAACAAGAAGAGCTAATGATCCTAAATATATATGCACCCAATATAGGAGCACCCAGGTACATAAGGCAAGTTCTTAATGACTTACAAAGAGACTTATACTCCCACACAATAATAGTGGGAGACTTTAACACCCCATTGTCAATATTAGACAGATCAAAAAGACAGAAAATTGACAAGGATATCCAGGACTTGAACTCAGACTTGGAACAAGCAAACATTATAGACATTTACAGAACTCTCCACCCCAAATCTATGGAATATACATTCTTCTCAGCACCACATCACACCTACTCTAAAATTGAGCACGTAATCGGAAGCAAGTCACTCCTCAGCAAATGCAAAAGAATGGAAATCATAACAAACAGTCTCTCAGACCACAGTGCAATCAAGTTAGAACTCAGAATGCAGAAACTAACTCAGAACTGCACAGCTTCATGGAAACTGAAAACTGGCTTTTGAATGTTGATTAAATAAACAATGAAATGAAGATATAAATAAAGATGTTCTTCGAAACGAATGAGAATAAAGACACAACATACCAGAATATCTGGGACACATTTAAAGCAGTCTCTAGAGGAAAAATATATAGCAATAAGTGCCTACATGAGAAGCAAGGAGAGATTGAAAATTGATACCCTATCATCAAAATTGAAAGAGCTACAGGAAAAAGATTTAAAAAACCTCAAAACCTAGCAGAAGAAAGGAAATAACTAAGATCAGAGCAGAACTGAAAGAGATAGAGACAGAAAAACCCTTCAAAAAATCAATAAGTCCGGCCGGGCGCGGTGGCTCAAGCCTGTAATCCCAGCACTTTGGGAGGCCGAGGCAGGTGGATCACAAGGTTAAGAGATCGAGACCATCTTGGTCAACATGGTGAAACCCCGTCTCTACTAAAACTACAAAAAATTAGCTGGGCATGGTGGCGCGTGTCTGTAGTCCCAGCTACTCAGGAGGCTGAGGCAGGAGAATTGTCTGAACCCAGGAGGCGTAGGTTGCGGTGAGCCGAGATCGTGCCATTGCACTCCAGCCTGGGTAACAAGAGCGAAACTCCGTCTCAAAAAAAAAAAAAAATCAATAAATCCAGGAGCTGGTTTTTTGAAAAGACCAACAAAATAGACAGACCACTAGCCAGATTCATAAAAAAGAAAAGAATAATCAAATGGATGCAATAAAAAATGATAAAGGGGATATCACCACAGATTCCACAGAAATTCAAACCATCGTCAGAGATTATTACAAACAACTCTATGCACATAAACTAGTAAATCTGTAAGAAATGGGTAAATTCCTGGACACTTGCCTCCTCCCAAGCCTAAACAAGTAAGAAGTCAAAACCCTGAATAGACCCATAAGGTCTGAAGTTGAGGTAGCAATGAAGAGCCTACCACCCAAAAAAAACCTAGGTCCAGATGGGTTCACAGCCGAATTCTACCAGACATACAAAGAGGAACTGGAACCATTCCTTCTGAAACTATTCCAAATAATCCAAAAAGAAGGAATCCTTCCCAAATCATTTTATGAGACCAAAATCACCCTGATACCAAAACCCGGCAGAGACTCAACAAGAAAAGTAAGCTTCAGGCCAATATCCATGATGAACATAGACGCAAAAATCTTCAATAAAATACTGGCAAGCCCATTGCAACAGCATGTCAAAAAGCTTATTCACCATGATCAAGTAGGCTTCATCCCAGGGATGCAATGCTGGTTTAACATACACAAGTCTAGAAACGTAATTCACCACATAAACAGAACCAAAGACAAAAACCACTTGATTATCTCAATTGAAGCAGAGAAGGCCTTTGACAAAATTTAACAGCCCGTTATGCTAAAAACCCTCAATAAACTAGGTATTGACGGAACGTATCTCAAAATAATAAAAGCTATTTATGACAAACCAACAGCCGATATCATACTGAATGGGCAAAACCTGGTAGCATTCCCTTTGAAATCTGGCACAAGACAAGGATGCCCTCTCTCACCACTGCTATTCAATATAGTACTGGATGTTCTCGCCAGAGCAATCAGGCAAGAAAAAGAAATAACAAGTATTCACATAGGAAAGGAGGAAGTCAAATTGTCTCTATTTGCAGACGACATAATTTTATATCTAGAAGACCTCTTTGTCTCAGCCCAAAATCTCCTGAAACTGATAAGCAACTTCAGCAAAGTCTCAAGATACAAAATCAATGAACAAAAATTACAAGCATTCCTATACACCAATAACAGACTTAAAGAGAGCCAAATCAAGAATGAACTGTCATTCACAGTTGCTACAAAGAGAATAAAATACCTAGGAATACAACTAACAAGGAACCTAAAGGACGTCTTCAAGGAGAACGGCAAGCCCCTGCTCAATGAAATAAGAGAGGACACAAACAGATGGAGAAACATTCCATGTTCATGGTTAGGAAGAATCAATATCGTGAAAATGGCCATACTACCCAAAGTAATTTACAGATTCAACACTATCCCCATCAAGCTACCAATGACCTTCTTCACAGAACTGGAAAAAAACACCTTAAACTTCATATGGAACCAAAAGAGAGCCCGCATAGTCAAGTCAATTCTAAGCAAAAAGAACAAAGCGGGAGGCATCACACTACCGGTCTTCAAACTGTACTACAAGGCTACAGTAATCAAAACAGCATGGCACTGGTACAAAAACAGAGACATAGATCAATGGAACAGAACAGAGGCCTCAGAAGCAACACAACATATCTACCACTATCCAATCTTTGACAAACCTGACAAAAACAAGTAATGGGGAAAGGATTCCCTGTTTAATAAATGGTGTTGGGAAAACTGGCTAGCTATGTGCAGAAAGCAGAAACTGGATTCCTTCCTGACACCTTACACTAAAATTAACTCCAGATGGATTAAAGACTTAAACATAAGACCCAACACCATAAAAACCCTAGAAGAAAATCTAGGCAAAACCATTCAGAACATAGGCGTAGGCAAGGTCTTCATGACCAAAACACCAAAAGCATTGACAACAAAAGCCAAAACAGACAAATGGCACCTAATCAAACTCCACAGCTTCTGCACAGCAAAACAAACAGCCATTGGAGTGAATCAGCAACCAACAGAATGGGAAAAATATTTTTGCAGTCTACCCATCTGACAAAGGGCTGATATCCAGGATTTACAAAGAATTAAAACAGATTTACAAGAAAAAAGCAAACACGCCCATTCAAAAGTGGGTGAAGGATATGAACAAACACTTTACAAAAGAAGACATACATGAGGCCAACAAACTTGAAAAAATGCTCATAATCACTGGTCATTAGGGAAATGCAAATCAAAACTACAGTGAGATACCATCTCATGCCAGTTAGAATGGCGATCATTAAAAAATCTAGAGACAACAGATGCTGGAGAGGATGTGGAGAAATAGGAACACTTTTACACTGTTGGTGGGAGTGTTCAAGCATTGTGGAAGACAGTGTGCCAATTCCTCAAGGACCTAGAAATAGAAATTCCATTTGACCCAGCAATCCCATTACTGATTATATACCCAAAGGATTATAAATTGTTCTACTACAAGGACACATGTACATGAATGTTCATTGCAGCACTGTTTACAATAGCAAAGACCTGGAACCAACCCAAATGCCCATCGATGATAGATTGAACAGGGAAAATGTGGCACATATACACCATGGAATATTATGCGGCCATAAAAACTGATGAGTTCGTGTCCTTTGTAGGGACATGGATGAACCTGGAAATCATCATTCTCAGCAAACTGACACAAGATCAGAAAATCAAACACCATATGTTCTCACTCATAGGTGGGTGTTAAACAATGAGAACACATGGACAAAGGGAGAGGAGCACTACACACTGGGGTCTGTTGGGGGGAAATAGGCGAGGGACAGTGGGGGGTGGGGAGTTGGGGAGAGATAGCATAGGGAGAAATGCCAGATATAGTTGAAGGGGAGGAAGGCAGCAAATGACACTATCATGTTTGTACCTATGCAACTATCTTGCATGTTCTTCAAATGTACCCCAAAACCTAAAATGCAATAAAAATAATAAAAAGAAAAAAGGAAAAAAAATAACATCAAATAAAATTTGTATGCTTTTCCTCTTATTAAAAAATAAGAAAAATTAAAATAAATAAGAAATCCCCAAATATTTCAGTATGAATTGTCCTGAGATTTGGCTACTTTAACACAGGAAATAATTAGGCTCTTACCTGATTCCTTCACTTAGGTACCATCTGGATAGGTACAAAGAAAGAATGGGAGGGGTACTGGAAATTTGGAATATTTGAGTTTTTATTGAAAAAGGGAAGAAAATATTCCAAAGAAGCCTCAACAAAGTCCCGCAGAATAATAAATAGAGCTACAAACAAGAAGAATCATAAATAAAAGGTCCTATGGCAGCCTAAGAGAATGAGATGAGGCAGTAAGAACTGCTGTTTGGGAGGGGAGGAGAAAAGAAAGTGACTGGACTCTGTGGAGAAAGACCTAGCGGTGGGAATGGGAACGCAGGGCACAGCCAGCCTTTGCTTCTGGCCAGCCCTGGAAAAACTGGCTACAGGCAAAATGGAGCCAGAGGTGGGGGATGTCCCCCAGGGAACCTTGGAGACAGCAGCAGCCAGAGGTGTGGCCAGGGCAGACAGCACCGTCACCTCCTTACCTTCAGGCATCTCCCGGTCATGGATGTGGTGCACATGAAGGCCCTCACCAGCTTCAACAATCAATTTGGCAGACTCTTCAGCAGCAGCCGTGGGCGCTGCTGCTATCGTGTCCTCAGCTGATGCCTCACAGACCTCAGATTGAGAGCGACACCCTGACCTCTCATGCTGGTCCAAGTCGGGGCTGACCTTGGGGCACACACAACAGGTCAGTATGCTCCCCATTGGACTGTCTGTCACCATCTGTGCCTCTGCTCACAGCATTGGTCACGCACTCCCGCTGCCCTAGGCTGAGGTTATGCTGTACTTGCAGAGATAGTATTGCTGCTGCTCGCCTGCCTACCCCACAGCCCAGCCCCAGCGGGGGCATGGGCCAAGGCCCGCACCCTGCCACCTGACCTGAGTTGACTTGTTTGGGAGGGTGAAGATCAGCAGGCTAATTTAACAGGTTGTGAAACCAACAAGAGCTGAGAGACACAACAACTGCCTGAAGAGAGTACAAAAGGAGCTCCTCCTCCTCCTGCAGTAACCTACAGACTGAAGTCCACTGGCCCAGGTGGGAGCCCAAGCATGTGGCTCACAGTGCCCCACCCCACACCTCACAATGCCCCACCCTGGGGGTTTGAGTTGTCCCTGACTACAGCTCAAACTGCTGCTGTCTGGGCTGCCCCACCCTGTGGTTTATTATGCGGCTGCTCTCCTGGCCCCTCCTGCAGTGCCAGTGGGACTAAGGTTTTCATTCATCACCAGCTTCCTGAGCTTTTTAGTCCTAAGAAAAGCACAGGGTGGTTCTTTACTGGAAGCCATCTTACCCTATGAGTTCTATACAAAGTCTTAGTTAGTAGAGTGGGTCCCATTAGCAACAAAGTTGAACAACTTTTATTTTCTAACTGAATGTAGATACAACTGAATTGTTCATTGCTTTTGTAATGAAATACTCCTCTCCTGTCTTCCAATGAGTGGTAGTTTTTGTCTGCAACTTGACCACAGCAATACCTGAGGCCCTAGCTCTACTCTCACTAAAGAGTTATGACTGTGTGCCTTGAATGACACCTTAGGACCCATCCTGCCTCCACCTCCTTCTCCATAAAATAGAAACCTAACTTGTCCCTCCAAGCTCTGAAATGCTGAAACTTACCAACTCCCCTTTTTCCCCCTCTGTTTCTTCCTTCCACGCAGGGACTTTCAGATTTTCTTTTACTAACAAAGCTCTAAGCATGATTTTGTTATACAAAATCAAGAGCCATAAAGTGGGGTACCACTGTCCTAACTCAATAAAGATGAATACTCAACATCTGGCAAGCAGTATGTGCCTGACAGTGTTCCAAGTGGGCTATGCTCATTTAACCCTCAGAAATCTTCTCACAGATTTTAGAGAAGACATTGAGATGGAGAAGGTAAGCTATCCCCCCAAGGTCACGTGACTCTCAGGCTGGGGCCATTATTTAATCCCAGGTAGTATGAATTCCCCAATTCCTCAAGTGTGATTATCAGAAAGTGTATTGCTTCATGTTGACAGTGCTATAAATAAATACCTGAGGTTGGGTAATTTATAAAGGAAAGAAGCTTAATTGACTCACATTCCACATGACTGTGGAGGCCTCAGGAAACTTACAATCATAGCAGAAGGGGAAGCAGTTACTTCTTACATGGCAGCAGGCCACAGAGTATGTGTAAAGGAGCAACTGTCAAACACATATAAAACCATCAGATCTCAGAACTGACTATCACAAGAACAGCATGGGGGAAACTGCCCCCATGATCCAATTACCTCCCACTGAGTCCCTTCCTCAACATGTGGGGATTATGGGGATTACAATTCAAGATGAGATTTGGGTGGGGACATGACCAAACCATATCAGAAAGTACAGGTAGAAGTTAAGCTTGGAGGTGAAGTGACATTATAGATTGTCATATTTTTTTTTAAAAAAAAAACAACCTTTTTTTGATGTGGATTTAAAAATGCCTCCCCTTCATTCAACATTGATTAAGTCACTTCTACATGCCAGGCACTGTGTCTGTGAAACAGTCCCAAATTTCAATGAGTGTAGGCAAATACACAAAGGCTTAAGGAGTTCCTGTAAGGCTGGTTGCCTAGCTGGGAGCTTGGACATGCCCATCCCTCTCCGCACCTGAAAACTATCTCACCACTCCACGCTCGACATCAAGCCCTGCACTCAGCATCTAGCTCTGCCACGTAGCTTCCCCAATGCCTCCTTCTGCACTCCGCACCCGAGTCTGCACTCAACACTAAACTCTGCACTTGGCACCTAGCCCACCATTGAAAAACCCCACCAAAATTTAAAAGAAGCCCTGCCAAAACCTGCCCAATAGCATTTTGCCCCGTCCAGGTCCCGCTTCTCCTGGGCAGCCTGCTCACTGGAAATCCCGCCTACCTACCAATAGCAGCTTGCCTCGTCCATGTCCCGTTCCTTCATAACCAATCAAGACACCCTTACTCGCTATAAAAACCCCACACCTCAGGAAGTCGCACACAAGTTCTCTGGCCCCTCTTTCTCAGACCACAGAACCTTGCCTGGGATCTAAATAGATTGGCATTTAATTTTCTTATGCTAGTCTCAGTTTCCTCATTTTAAACTCTGCAATAACCCTTACATTTGGTGCCAGAAACCCGGGAGGAGTTGTAAGACCCCTCCTGGGGAAAACTGACTCCTCCACCCGAAGCCGGACCAGAGAGCTGCTCCACCACAAGGTAAGACTTCTGTTGCCCATAGCCTCTCCCACTGCCTGCTCTGTGGACTCCCTGCTTGTAATCACGGCCGCATTGGGGACTCCTTCCCACCATGGGCCCAGGGCCCTGGCCCCATTCTGAGGACCTGAGCATAGAGGAGACGTCCCTACAGTCTTGTCTTCTCCCCGTAAGGGGTTTCTCAGGGTCAGGAATCTGAGGGAGACGTCCCCACCTTCCTGAGCCCTCCCTCAGCCTCCGGTATTCAGTGGTGGGGCCCTGGATGCCGAGCCACACTTTCAATCATCTCTGTGGCAGCGGCTAAGGTTTGGGTAATCAGAAGCCCCATTTACAAACCCGGGCCCTGCCCAGGAGCAGAACCAAACCCCCGGCTTACAATCTCAAACTAGCCTTTTGGCATACAAGATCCCCTCTATGAAGTAACTGTGCTTTTGGTTTCTCTTCCTGATCCTGAGTGAGTGAGTGAGTGAGTGAGTGAGTTTATGTATAGTCCCACAGCCTGATGGCTATGGGGCTTATGTGGGCCTCAACCCACGGTTCCACGGCGATGTCATAAGGCATAATGGTCATTCACCTCAGGAATCTAAAGGTGACCAGGCCAGGGGGTTATACGGGTACACCTTAGCCAAGATGCCCTGAAACATCCCTTCGGGGATGTGGCTGGGAAGGCATCAGACTGGTCTCCCATCTGGGGGGCACCCATCCTTTGTCTGTCAATCCCACATGTGGCTCTGTCCTTACTGTAGGTTCACCAGTTTTGTTAGACTCCTGTTAGCTGATATACAGTGGGTGAGGCCTGCTTCCCTTGAAGTAACAGATATTCTACAGTGGGTAACAGGCCACTGACTGCAGGAAAGCTTTACTGAATTTAGGCCCCTAGAAATAACTATGTTCTCCTTTCTCCTCCTACTCTTCTTCTACCACTGAGGTCTCACTTCCTAGCCCTGCCTCTCCTTTGTTTCCTCTAGTCCTTTCATGTGGCAGATAGCCCTAGCCCTGTCTGTCTTCATTTTCTTTCTTATTATAATATTGCAGCCTGCAAGTTCTCTCAGCCACCCCCTCCAGGAAAGGAGTACTTCTGCCCTTGTTGGGTATAATACCTTTCTGTATCCCTTCCTCACCCCTAACTAACCCACAAAAAGTGAACTATGGGTAACCAGGAATCCCGCCCAGACCCCAAGTCACCGTTAGGATGTCTGGTTCAAAATCTATCCAAACTGGGTCTTTCCATAAAAAAGAAAAGGCTGTTCTTCCTCTCCACCGTGGCCTGGCCACAGTACCCTCTGGACAACCAGTCTAAGTGACCTCCAGAGGGCACACTCGACTTTAATGTCCTGACAGACCTAGATCACTTTTGCCAAAGGAACGGCAAATGGGCGAAGGTTCCCTACATTCAGGCTTTCTGGTATGTCTGCTCCCACCCCACCCTCTGCTCCTCTTGCACTACTGTCCAGGTGCTCCTGGCCAAAGACACCCCACCACCACCCTCAGCCCCTCCACCAACCTCCTCCTCCTTTTCTGACCCTACTGCCCAGGTGCTCCAGGCCAAAGACACCACCCCCCAACTGCCCCCAGCCCCTCCACCAACCTCCTCCTCCTTTTCCGACCCTGACCTGCTGAGGAACTCTCCTTTCCACCCGCCCAACCCACTAATCCCCCTCTCTATGCAGACCCCCAACTCCCTCCTGCTACTCCTCTTCCTGGTCCCAATCTGGCCTCTCCTGTTAGTGCTCACACTCGCTCGTGATGTGCTCCCAATGATGAAACCTCCCAACTTTTCCTCTCCGTGAGGTGGCTGGAGCGAAGGGTGTTGTCCAAGTGCACGTTCTCTTCTCCATCTCTGATCTATCAACCATAGAGAAATGCCTAGGGTCATTCTCTACCAATCCTATGGCTTACACCAAAGAGTTTTGTTACCTCACCCAGGCATACAACCTCACCTGGCATGATACCTATGTAATTCTGTCCTCCACCCTTACTCTGGATGACTGTAACCGCATTCTCACGGTGGCCCAGGCACATGCTGATCAGGTACATCTCACAAACAATCAAATGCCAGTGGGCGTGGCAGCGGTCCCTGAGGCCGACCCTAATCAAACTGGCCAAGATGGCCACCACCGCCGAGACCAAATGCTACAGTGCCTCTGAGCAGGCATGCAAATAGCAGCCCAAAAGGTAGTTAATTTTGATAAGCTAAGAGAAATAACTCAGGTTCCTACTGAAAACCCAGCCACCTTCCTTGACCGACTAAGTAATGCTATGATCCTTCATACCCAACTAGACCCAGACTCTTTAGCAAGGTCTACAGTTCTAGCCGCCCATTTCATTTCTCAGTCAGCACCTGACATTAGAAAGAAACTTTAAAAACCTGAGGAAGGCCCCCAAACTTCCATACGAGACCTGGTAAACCTGGCATTTAAAGTTTTTAATGGCCGAGAGAAAAAGCCTGAGGCCACCTGCCAGGCCCGTCTACAGCAACAGGTAAGCCTCCAAACCCAAGCACTTGTAGCAGCCCTGAGGCCGGCAGCTCACCAAACGTCTGGTGGAGGGGGCCCATCGAGACCCTCCCAAAATGCTTCGAGGGTCCTGCCCAGGCTCTGTTTTAAATGTGGCCAGGAGTGACACTGGGCACAACAGTGCCCCTGTCCGCATCCAGCCCCTGGACCCTGCTCGAGCTGCAAATGAGCCAGACACTGGAAGGTAGACTGCCCATCCCAGACTTCAGGCCCACACCCCACACCTCTATGTGGAGGGCAGGCCGGTCCGCAGGAAGCAGTCCCTTCACTTGAACTTCTTGGCCACCTGGACGACTGAGGCGGCCCGGACTTGGAGACCCTCATCACCCTTGCCGAGCCCAGGGTAATGCTGCAGGTAGTGGGTAAGTCCATTTCCTTCTTGGTGGACATGGGGGATACCTATTCGGTATTGCCTTCCTACTCAGGACCTAGCATACCTTCCCAGGTTTTAGTCATGGGAATTGATGGAAAGACCTCTTGCCTTAACCAAACTCACCCCTTAGCCTGTGTCCTTGAGGGACACCCCTTCTCCCACTCCTTTCTAATCATACCCTCATGCCCAGTTCCCCTTTTAGGATGAGATATTCTCCAGATTTAAGGGGCCACCCTCCAACTCACTAGCCCCCCACATTCAAGCCCATCCTCTGCCCACCTCCAATTGCTACTCCTAACCGGCACCGCGCCCTGTCTTGATCCGTCGCCTCAACCCCCATCCCTCCTAATGAAGTTAATCCCTTGGTATGAGATACTTCCAAGCCTGTGGTGGCCAGACATCACACTCCAGTTAAAATACTTCTCAAAGACCCTACCCACTTTCCCTCATGTCCTCAGTTTCCCATCTCAAAAACCCACCGCGAGGGCCTAAAGCCTATCATCACCCGACTTTTGGCCCAGGGACTCCTTATCCCCACCAGTTCCCCTTGTAACACTCCTATCTTACCGGTCCAAAAGCCGTCCAGTGACTACTGCCTAATTCAAGACTTGCACCTCATCAACAAGGCGGTGGTACCCCTCCACCTGGTGATCCCCAACCCACACACCCTATTATCCAACATCCCCTCCACTACCTCTCATTTTATGGTTCTTGACCTCAAGGATGCCTTCTTTACCATTCCCCTTCATCCTGAGTCTTACTTCCTCTTTGCCTTCACCTGGACCAATCCTGACAGCAACCTGTCACAGCAGCTCACCTGGACGGTCCTGCCCCAGGGATTCAGGGACAGCCCCTATATTTTTGGACAAGACTTAGCAGCTGACCTTAGCTCCTGTCCCCTCCAACCCAGCCTCCTTCTCCAGTACGTGGATGACCTATTACTTTGCAGCCCCTCCCTCGCCATGTCTCAGCAGCACACTGCCACCCTCCTTAACTTTCTTGGATCTCAGGGGTACCAGGTATCTCCCTCCAAAACACAGTTGTCAGTCACCCCAGTAGTCTACTTGGGCATTTGCCTCACCCCCGAAACTAAGGGCCTAACAACAGACCACCGGCAGGCACTTCTTTCACTGCAGCCCCCAGAAACTGCTGACCAGATTCTCTCCTTCTTAGGATTTGTAGGATTCTTCGGTCATTGGATACCTAACTTTGCCACTGTAGCTAAACCTCTGTATGTGGTGGCTAAGGACACACCTACGGGACCCCTGTCCCACCCTGGGACTGTAAAACAAGCTTTTCAAACCCTACAAACTGCCTTGTCCACAACACCCCCACTCCAACTGCTGGATCTTAACCACCCCTTCCACTTGTTCACTGACAAAAAACAAGGGATTGCGGTTGGGGTCTTAACCCAACCCCTGGGTCCTGTATATCGTCCTGTGGCCTACTTATCAAAACAGCTTGACTCCACAGTCAGGGGGTGGCAGCCTTGCCTGTGGGCCCTGGGAGCAGCAACAGAACTTACCAAGGAATCCCTAAAACTTACCTTGGGCCAGCCCATCTCAGTGTTCTCTCCTCATTGGCTAACCGACCTTCTCTCTCACAAACCTGTCGCTCACCTAGGACCCTCTCTCCTACAGGAGTTTCCTATACTCTTTTTTTTTTTTTTTTTTTTTTTTAGACGGAGTTTCACTCATGTTACCCAGGCTGGAGTGCAATGGCGCGATCTCGGCTCATCGCAACCTCCGCCTCCTGGGTTCAGGCAATTCTCCTGCCTCAGCCTCCTGAGTAGCTGGGATTACAGGCACGCGCCACCATGCCCAGCTAATTTTTTGTATTTTTAGTAGAGACGGGGTTTCACCGTGTTGACCAGGATGGTCTCGATCTCTTGACCTCATGATCCACCCGCCTCGGCCTCCCAAACCGCTGGGATTACAGGCTTGAGCCACCACGCCCGGCCTCATATACTCTTTATTGAAAATCCTTCAGTCAGCCTTCATCCCACTTCTCCACTCAACCAAGCTACTTTGCTTCCCCTTCTATCCCATTCCCCCTCCCCAGCCCATTCCTGCCCTGAACTAATAGATGCATTTGCTAAACCTCGGGAGGGCCTGTCTGACTTTCCCCTATCTAACCCAGACCTTACCTTTATGTAGATGGGAGTTCAATAGTGACAGCCGAGGGGTGACAAAAAGCAGCCTATGCAATAGTCACAAATTCAGCCACCCTTGAGGCACGTCGCCTCCCCGATGGAACCACATCACAAAAGGCAGAGCTCATTGCCTTAACCCGGGCTCTCATGCTAGCACAGGGAAAGCGAGCAAATATCTATATTGACTCAAAGTATACCTTTCTTATTACCCACTGCCACTCTGCCCTCTGGAAAGAGCAGGGATTCCTTACTACGAAAGTGTCCCCCATAATCAATGCTACCCAAATCTCTAATCTCCTGCATGTCCTATCACTGCCCAAAGAAGTTGGGGTCATCCACTGCCGAGGGCACCAGGCCCAGCAGGATGCTGTTTCCCAGGGCAATGCGAAGGTGGATGTGGCATCAAAATCCTTAACCAGTACCAGTCTAACCCCCACTCCGGTCCTGTTCCTCACCATGGCTACGCTGCTGGTTTACTCGCCATCAGAAAAACAGGCCCTCATATTAAGAGGAGGAACCGCGTCTGATCAGGGCTGGATCTTCCTAAACTACAGGATCGTCCTTCCATGGGAACAGGCCCCTAAAATTATTACTGAAATCCACCAATCCTTACATATATGGCCCAAGGCATTGCAACACTTTGTGCAGTCCCTCTTTTTCTCACCAGGTCTGCAACAGACAATTGAGCAGGTACACAAGGCATGTGTTACTTGCTCTAAGGTGTCGTCTCAGGGAAGCTTAAAGCCACAGTTTCCTACCCACCAAATGTGTGGCAACCTGCCGGCCAAGACTGGCAGATTGATTTTATGCATATGCCCACTCATAAAAAACTCTGCTACCTCTTAACCTTCGTAGACACCGTTTCTGGATGGGTTGAAGTCTTTCCCACCTCCAGGGAAAACGCGGACACGGTGGCCTCCCTCTTAATTCAAGAAATCATCCCTCATTTTGGCTTACCTGCAACCATCCAGACAGACAACGGTCCAGCATTTACAGCCCCAGTGGTCCAGCTGGTCGCCAAGTCTCTCAACACCTCCTGGAAACTGCACATCCCCTACCACCCTCAGTCATCGGGTAAAGTTGAATGGGCTCAAGGCATCCTCAAAGACCATTTGGCCAAACTTACCATTAAGGTAAAACTCTCTTGGCCCACACTCCTACCTCTTGCTCTAGCCTGGGTCCAAGCCACTCCACGGGGGCCAACGGGCCTCAGCCCCTTTGAACTGCTGTACAGCCGGCCTTTTCTGGTCTCCCATAATCTCCCAGTGCAACCGCCTCCACTGACCTCCTACCTCCCCTTTCTCTCTCTCCTCTGCCACTTACTCAGGGAGCATGCCGACCGTACTCTCCCTATTGTTCTGGGTCCAGAGGACCCTCACCCGGCAGCACCTCTCCAGCCAGGCAACAGTGTTCTCCTCCGGGAGCTCAAACCAGGATCTCTGCAGCCCAGGTGGTCGGGACCCCACATTGTTATCCTGACCACCCCCACGACCGCTAAGCTCCTGGGTCACACTCCGTGGTATCATGTGTCCCACCTCAAGCTGGCCCCCCGAAATGATCAGTGGAAGTCTGAACCCTTGGGTCCCACTCTCCTCTGCCTCACCCACGTCCCCTACTCTTCTCCCCTTAACCCTTCAGATTCTCCTCCTAGCAATCCTAGTGTCCCCTCTTAAGACCAATCCCTACTATGTCTGGCAGTTCTACCATCAGGAATCCTGGATGGAAGTCTCCACCACTAAAACCCAATACATTGCCCAAACAGACTGCCAGCCCACACGCTGCCAGTCAGCCATAGTACTTGAATTCCCAAGATCAAAGGCCAATACTGTTAGAAACTCTTGGGGTAAATTTTGCCTCTGCTTTCTATATGACCAAACCAAAGACTACTGTCATTGGTGGAACACTACCTATGGTGGATGCCCATATACTTCTTGTGTCATGCACAAACCCTTCAAATCAAACACCAACCCAAAAAGAAGAATGCTCTTTGCCGACCACCAAGGTAAAGTGTCCCTTATCATCCATGACCCCTGGGATGGCCGCTGGGAAAAGGGAACTGCAGGTAAAATATACAACAGTATTACAGATAGCCAACCCAGTGGCACGTGGCTAATATTCCAGTCCTATACTCGTATTGTACCTGTAGAAATAGACCAACTCAGCTCATTAGGCAGTACCATCCTACAAAATGAAGCCACCCTAGGTAACCAATTCGGAACCCCAAATAACACCTCCCCACATTTCTCCTGGTTAACTTTAGTGAAGCAAGGCACTAGCATGTTGAATTTAACTGGAGCCATAAATTTCACCAACTGCTTTTTATGTGCCTTCCTCAGCAAAACCCCCTTGGCTGCAGTTCCCCTCTGGACTGGGTTCAATCTGTCACAATCACCTATGGGGCCTAGCACCACTTTAACGGGTATCCCCTTGTTCAAAGTGCACTCTCAAAATCTCTCTCTCTGCTATGGGACGGCCAACAGCTCCAGCCGCAACACCACAGTAAAAGTAAAATTCTCCCTTTATGCACCTCCAGGAGGATACTTTTGGTGTAATGAGACCCTAACCAAAGTTATTAATGAATCCCTTCCCTTCCCTTGCATGCCTGTCACTTTGCTCCCGCAGCTAGAAGTATACGGACAAGCTGAGTTCCTATCCCTCATCGCACCGTCCCCTAATCACTGGAGTAAACAAGCAGTCTTCTTCCCAATAGTGTTTGGCCTCTCCTTAGCATCTTCTCTAGCAGCAGCTGGAATAGGGAGTGGCGCCCTGGGCTACAGTGTCACCTCAGCCACTCAATTAGAAGACAAGCTCCGTGTAGACATTGAAGCATCAGCTGCCTCTCTAGCCTCCCTCCAGCGACAAATCACGTCGCTGGCCCAGGTAACTCTCCAAAACCGATGGGCCCTAGGCCTGCTAATGGCAGAAAAAGGAGGTACCTGTCTGTTTCTTCAGGAACAGTGCTGCTACTATGTCAATGAAACAGGCCTTGTAGAAGAGAAGGTTGACGCTCTCTATTGCCTCCAAGAATACCTCCGAAGAAAACAGAACACACCAGCCTCATCTCTCAACTGGTGGCAACCCCCCATGCTTTTCTGGCTAGCTCCCATTATCACCCCCATTATCGTTATTTGTCTTTTGCTAATGCTAGCCCCTTTTTTCCTCAAGTTTTTACAGGCCTGCATAAGGGAAATTTCCAGGGTAGCCATAAACCAGATGCTGCTTCACCCCTATGTCTGACTCCCAACCGAGGCACCAAAATGACCCCCACTCCGCCCCTACTCAGCGGGAAGTATCCAGAAAGAAGCAGCATCCTATATCATCAGAAGGGTCGGAATGTAAGGCCAGTTGCCTCGCCAGGAGCTCGGACATGCCCATCCCTCTCTGCACCTGAAAACTAGGTCACCACTCTGCACTCGACATCAAGCCCTGCACTCAGCATCTAGCTCTGCCACGTAGCTTCCTCAACACCCCCTTCTGTACTTTGCACCCGAATCTGCACTCAACACTAGACTCTACACTCAGCACCTAGCCCAGTGTTGAAAAACCCCACCAAAATTTAAAAGAAGCCCCACCAAAACCTGCCCAATAGCATTTTGCCCCATCCAGGTCCCGTTCCCCCTGGGCAGCCCACTCACCAGAAATCCCACCTACCTACCAATAGCAGCTTGCCCCGTCCACGTCCTGTTCCCTCATAACCAATCAAGACACCCTCACTCACTATAAAAACCCCACGCCTCCGGAAGTTGCTCGCGACTTCTCTGGCCCCTCTTTCACAGACCACAGAACCTCGCCTGGGAGCTAAATAAATTGGCATTTAATTTTCTTATGCTAGTCTCAGTTTCCTCATTTTAAACTGGGCAATAACCCTTACAGTTCCCATTTTCTGAGACCAAACTCCTGGACAGTGTATGAACCTGAGATATAAACCCATCTCTATTTGACCCCAAATTTGATGCTGGGGTGTTTTTAATTTTATTCTGAAAATTTAAGTCATTGTATTATACAAAGATGAGGAGTCTCTGTCAGATATGTGTGTGGTGGTTTGTATAATAAGGAAGGACTGAAGGAAGCAACAAGACCAATTCAGAGACTATCTAAAGGAAGAGTAATGCTAAAGGCAGTGGCAGTGACAAAAGTCGGGGGGGCGGAAAGTTGTGATTATTTGGGAGACAGAATAGGAATTACTTGGTCATGAGATGTGAAAGTGGGGAAGTAGAAGGAAAACCAGGATTGCTCAGGCTCTGCTGGAGAAGACTAGGTGCACAGTTGTACCTTTCTTCTGGCAGAAAACTTAGGAAGAGAAATAAGTAAGGAGAAAAAGATCATTTTTAACTCTCAGTGTCACATTAAAATGGAATTCTATAGTCAAAGTTGAATATAATCTCTGTAAGCTAAGACCATTTGTGACATCCCTACCTATGTTTTCAAAAATAACATACATACTAAATCAAAGCATTAGGAGTAATTGGGAAAATATTCTATAATTTACATGCTAAGAATATCACCATTTTCCATTTATTACTTTCATGGAGTAACTTTGAATGTATGGTTACAGCAAATGAGGGATCTTACATAAAATAAAGCTAATATTTTAGATTTAAAATTCTATTGTCTTCAGAGAATAGAGAAAGCAACTGAAGTCATGGGTGTGGAAGTGATTACCTTGAAAAGTTGTGTATAGTAAGGATAACTGGAAAGAAGACCTGGAGAACAGGGTGATTTACACAACATTAAGTAAAGCTTGCAAAAGGGAGCACTCGGAGTCAAGAGACCCACGTATGAATCAGGAACACCTGCTCCTTTGAGTCATTAGAAAGGAGATGATGTCTGATTTCATTTCTATAACAGCAGCACCTAGCACAGTGCCTGGTCAATAGCTACTCGATAAGTAAAATTCCAACGCACTGAGTCAAATTTTGCTAGGAGGGCATGAAAGCTACAAATCAGCTATGGCAATTTAGTGATTGGACTTGTGCATGTGAGTGAGTGAGCTGGATGTCAGGCAGTGGGTAAAGTAGTGAACTGGAAGTAAGAAAACAGTGACACAAAATAAGAGCTTTTCTTCCCAAGTATTCGGCTGAGAAGAGAGATGTAGTAGTAGTTAAAGGGAGATATGTGGTAAAGAAAGCCTTTTATTCCAAGATTCAACAAAAGCATGAGTATATTTCCATGTTAAAGAGGAAGAGCCAACAAAGAAAACACATTTTTGAGGTTAGAGATTAGCTTTGGAGTCCTACAAAAGCAAGAAGGGGGAAAGGGCCATGTGACTCCAGAGATACTTCTGGTAGAGGAAAGGCTTAGGAAGCAATCTTTTGATGACCTTTATTTTAAAAGACTTTTCAAAGAAAAAAATTGTGGGGAAAAGGATATTATGTATAGAAAAGTCTACACTTGATACACCTAACAACCAAAAAAAGCTTGATACACGAATGGCTTCCCTAAAAGTGGGTAAATTGAAAAGAAATTAGAGCAAAAATCACGAAGTTCATTTATAAATAAGTATATCCAGAAAGAAAAAGATGGGCTTAATTTTTCCCACAAAGAGTTAAAAGAAAAAACAACTTTAGGGGAAGAGGAAAAAATAATTAAGAAGAAAATTATATGCAATTGTAAAATGTATGAATATTTACAAACTCTAACATAAGTGATTACAAAAAGGATCAGAAGAATCATTATCATGTGAAGCAAAGGGTCATTTCAAAAACATGGGGAAGGATGATTCCTATTGAATTCCACTGAAAATATTTCAATAAAGTTTGAGGACAAAAATAGGTGATATGTTGAAATGTGAGAAACCAGAGTGGAATAAAAAAGAAGTCAATAAAGCTCAGTTTCAGTAACCAATATCAAGTACAATCCTCAGGACCTAGTGGCTACAATCTGCGTTAATAGTGTCTGAAGACCTAGAAATGTCATTAGATACCATTTTGGATAATTCTTGTAGACTTGAGATGATGTCTACTTAAAGTTACAAAACAGTGCCTGCTCTTAACAACAGGCACATCCAAAAACAGATATCCATGACTTTAAAAATGGAAGAATTTTGAACTTTCTAAACAGGAAAATATTGGGAAGCATTGCTATGAAAACAGATTTTAAAACATGTTGAATGAAGGCAATATTGAAGTAAATTAAGAAAAAATTCTATACTTCCATGACATTGGCAAGTCATGAGAGCAAAGAGACACAAATTAGAGTAGTGTGATTTGAATTAATCAAGAGTTTGAAATTTCTGTGAAATGAGCTGAGACCTTGTTTGTTTATGACTCCAGAGTAAACTAATACTTCCATTCATTCAATACCCATTTAATACCTGAGCCCTTAGCAAACACACTGCACACTGTGTGCAAGAGCTGGGATATTGCTTGGACCGACATAAACAAGGTTCTTATTCTTGTGAAATTTATCTCCAGTAAGGGAGTTAACAGACTATGTTGCCCAACACCCTGCATTACCTAGGATGACTATTGATCTCCAGCTATTATATCATCATTCCAGGCTACTATAATGAAAATGAGGGAGAAAAGAAGGAGGAAGGTTTTTTAGAAAGTACTCATAGCGCAGTGCTCAAATTATTACCTTAAAACTTAGTGACATGGCCATACCTAGCTGCAGGAGAGGTTCAAAAGACAGAATCGTATAGCTAGAATAATTAATACAGAAGAAACAATTGAATATGCAAAGGAAAGTAGCATGCTACTCCATAATCGCTAAAGAAAGATTAGAAAAGTTTCAGCTTAAAGCAAGTATAATCACAATAAAATTTTACAACTTTTTGCAAGCATACATGAAAAACACAAAAACTTTGCAATAATCTTTCTTTCTCTTTCTTTCTTTCTTTCTCTTTCTTTCTTTCTTTCTTTCTTTCTTTCTTTCTTTCTTTCTTTCTTTCTTTCTTTCTTTCTTTCTTTCTTTCTTTCTTCTTTCTTTTTTTTTTCCCATTTATTTATTTTATTGCATTTTAGGTTTTGGGGTACATGTGAAGAACATGCAAAATTGTTGCATACTAACACACGTGGCAGTGTGATTTGCTGCCTTCCTCCCCATCACCTACATCTGGCATTTCTCCCCTTGCCATCTCTCCCCAGCTTCCCACC